GGTCAAACAAACAATCTTAAGATATATGAACAAATGACTAATGGAGAAATTGAGAAACAAATGTCTGGAAGTGAAGATAAGAAACTGAGGAAAGAAGACATTTAAAAAAAGAGGGAAATGTTAGATATATATTTTGAATGACAAAACTTTTATTTTTCTTTTTAAAAGAAATGACTTTTCGCAATTCTTTCTTTTTGGTTTTTTTTTTGAAATAGATTTATATAACCTTTTAAAAACTTATATGTAAAATACTTACTTGTAAAAAATGTATATAAAGATTGTAAATTTTCAATGTAGATATAAAATAAATATAAAATATAAAATTTTGGTGCCTTCCATTAAAATTTATTAAGATTCTAAACCTTTGTGCTATGTCTGAGAAAAATCTTCAAGTTTGTGTAATATCTTCTGGATAAAATATTGAGTTAGCCGTTTTAAAAAATCGGCTCGAATATAGCCTTTTAACACACTAATTAGACTATTGAGGGCTTAACATTTAAATCTAATTTCTTTTTATTTCATAATTTCTCCAGAAAATTAAATTAATATTTAATAAATGTTTAAATTTATAATATTTAAAAATTATATCATTTTCGATTGTGATTAGGGATAGGTTTAAAAGGCGGTTTTGCGCCATTCAGGTAATCAAGTCTTAATTAGTTTGAACTTTGAGAAGCTACGTTCTGTCTCGTAACGGTATTTGGAATAGTTAGAATAATCCTAAAAACTATGGATGCTAAAGGAATATTTATGGTCTGCTTATACAATATATTTATTTAAAATTTTAATTCAGTTAATAAATCTAATACATTAATATCGCATCCCTTAATAAAATATTTAATCGATGAAAATATTCTTAGCTTCGTTTAAGACTTTACCATGTATATATATATATATATATATATATTTATATATATATCGCATATAAAACCCAAGTGAATCCTTTAAGTTTTAACTTTTATTAACGTTCTTCTGACGAAATCATAGCTCGATCGAAAAATACGTAAAAAATCCAATCATATCAATGTTTTCATTATCGATATTAATTATTTCTCGCATTTCAGATGGCACGTTTTGTACATTTATTAAAATGTTTTAAAAGCGCTCCTTTTTGAGAATTAATAAATTCGGTCTTCTTCTTCATTTCTGAGCACCCGAAAAAAATTTGTTTCCTCTTTCCATTTTTTAAACTCTTTATGGCCTATGAAAAAAAAAATTATACGGCACATTCGAATAATTCAGTTGAAACAATTTTTTTTTATTAATCTAGTTCGTCATTTTTTAAGGGTCTAAAACCAACAGATAACATATATATATATATTAAATTAAACATCTAACATTTGAATATAAAGCTTAATTAAAATAATTCAATTTAGATAAGGGCAATTTAAAATAGACCTACCCATAAATTTTATTATTAAATGATGACTATGGTATAAAAAAAATTTTCACCTTAAAGGAAAACTAATCATAATATCCAAAGAATACCTCCTAGGCAATCTCACAAACCAGACTTTTAAAAATTAATAATAATATCTATCTAATTTTTATATCATTATATTTAAAATAAAATAATTAACAAAAAATCTATACTTTATAAACTAGTGTTGTTAAAAGCTACTTTTAAAAGTAGCACGCTACATTACCCCTATTTTATAAAAAAAGTAGCGCGCTATCGCTACCTCTATTTTACAAAAAAGTAGCATGTTATCCGTTGCGTTTGGCAAATTTATTTTTAGATATCCTCTCCTTTTTTTAGTAATCCCTAACATGTTGTTTTGCCTTTCCCATAATTTTTTAAATTTTTAAGACATGTGTTTTGTCTTTCCCATCAATTTTTATATATTTGTTAAAATAAAAACACAAGTGTATTCTTTTAATATCCGGACTCACTCTTGGTAAAGTAGGTTTACAAGTATTACACTTAAACAAATTATTATTATCATTATATGAACAATTTGTTAATCGATAAAAAATTTAATTTATCACCTATCTCTTGCTTATTACACATGTTAATATCAAAATTGCATTTGATTATATCAAATTCTCTAATCCAATCTTGACCACATAAGGGTGGTCCCCCATCCAATACACAAAAATCTAAATATTTAATAATATTTAACCATTTCCCAATTATTGTAATGGGAGAACCTTCATAAGAGAATAACTGCTTAGAACAACTTTTCAACTCAATATTTCCATAATTCGTGAGCTTTTCGAAATCTTTAATCGGCATGGTTGTCACCGGAGAACCAGTATCTATCATAAATGAATATTGAGATTATTTAATTGCTTACTAATGTTAAAATCATTCATAAAATTAATTTTATTTCGTGACCTCTATAAGGTATCTGTATTTGTTTTTTATATTGTTGTTATCGTTCCCCTTAAAGCATATTTGTTTTCCTTCCATACCTAATTACCTTGCCATTTCACTCCATCATCTCTTCTCCATAAATCTTTCGCTGCACAGGTTTTATTATCAGTTATTTCCATCGATTGACATTTGACCACAATATCAACAATAATGTTTAGATCTGTCGTATTTTATTTTCTTCTATCAATCTTGCTTTAAGTTTTTCATTACGACAGTTATTCATGAATTGTACAGCAATCAATTCCGTGTTCAGCCCCGAACCACAGCTTTTAAGTCGATCCAGATATTCTCTGGAAGACTCCCTGTCAGTTTTGAATTAAACAATTTAAAGATAAGTGTTATTTTATTTTTTTCAACCTTTTTTTATATTAAATCTTTTATTTGATGATACGATAAATTGTCCATATTGTCCATAATGCTAACCGCCATCTCTTTATCAATGGTTTGTAACAGTTTATATTTTTTGTGGCTTCATCAACAATATTCTCCACGAATTTTAGGTCCAATGTTTTTAATAGAACTTTAACTTTGAAATAATTTCTATCCTACACCATGTTGCAAGGGTGGAAACTTGCACTAACGTTGGGGTTTGAGTCGATAATATTTTGATGATATATACGAATGAGAACTTCACTAACTATGGGGTTCCACACCATGTTGCAAGGGGGAGAAACTTGCACTAAAGTTGGGGTTTGAGTCGATATTATTTTGATAATATACACGAATGAGAACTGCAGTAATGTTGGGGTTTAAGTCGATAATATTTTGACAATATATACGAATTTAATTTTCTATTTTCTTTAAAATAATTAATTTTGTATACAAAATACAGTCAAATATATATATACTTGGTCAAATAAATTAGTCAGTAATATGTTAAATTGACGCCTCAAAATAAAAAACATTTAAATGGGCATGTAAAGTCAAAATATAATATGAAATTAACGCCTTAGACAGTAAAAAATAAAGATTTACATATAAATTGAAGATAACAAATATATTATTTTCCAATAATATAACAGTATTATTGAACAGTATATCTACACTTTTAATTGAGTAATTCTTTTATCCACTCCTGATAAATTTATCCAAATCAGCCACCCTTGGTTCATTTTATTTTTTATTTCTTTTTTGATTTAATTTTTCAATAAAAAACTGGTAGATTGTAAATCAATCATAAATTTTGTTTTGATAATGAGAAAAATATAAAATATGGTGAAGGATGCTAAAATATAATGAATGCAGATTAAAATAAATTTTACATAAAATCCTTTTATTCTATACACTTTTTAAATAAATTTTTAAAAGATTCGTTGGATCGAATTAAACAAAAATATTTTGTTCACCATCCTCAATTTAAAAGAAAATCATAAATCCGGGTAAATTGCCAATATGGATCGAATCCAGAATCTTCAATCATTTGATCTCGATTCTTTAAAAACTCTGGTAATTATAAAATTATATTTAAACTTGACACAGCTAAATATCATAATATAAAATTGGCCATCATACACTACTTATAGACAGATGTGCTAATGATTACATAAATTTAATATAAACCAGTGGCGTAGCTAGGAATTTTACTTAGAGGGGGTCCATATATTTAACGGGCCTAATCATATGTGTTTTTCTTATAATATAAAAGTCTAGTTTTATTAAACGGCTGGATTTGAGCCGATTTTTATAAACAGCTAACTCAATATTATAGCCAAAAAATATTGCTCAAGCCTAGAGATTTAATGAATAATGTCTAAACCTTTGTATCATCCATGAGCAATTTCAGGCTTGCATAAATTTCTGGCTAATATATTGAGTTAGCCATATCGGCTCAAATTGAGCCATTAACAACACTAATTTTTATTAAAATAACACATTTCAACATTACTTTTATAGATATACGTTTCAATTTATTATAATTTTATAGAAATCAATTTACAATTTAAAATATTAATATTATATTGCTTTAATTATAAATATTATATTGCCTTAATTATAAATTATATACTTTATAACTATTAGTATTACACGTATAAATTGCTGATTATAGATATATTTTGTAATTAGTAGTATTATATAACACATTTAAATTATAGATTAAAATATAAAAATGTTATATATAATAAAATAAATGTAGAAAAAATGCATATATATAACAAATAAATTTTATATAAACTATTGTAAAGCAATTTATAGATAACAAAATATAATAATTCATGGTATTTATTTGATATAAAGTCACTTTTGAGTCTTTTCCACGTATAGTCTACAAAAAATTTTTGCTCTGGGGGAGGGGGGGGTTCGAGCTACGTCACTGATATAAACGCTTAAATCTATAGTTTTATTATAAATTACACAAAATATAACAATACTTTAATCATCTAATATATTTATAAGACACTTGCTTATAATTAAAATAATGGATTCGGAAAAACATTTCTATAATAAATACTGATAAATTAAAAAAATGTTTAAATTTAGTGTATACTTTGGATTTTCTATTTGTCACGCATTAGAAATACAGTAAAATATTTGTTAAAGAAATATATATGCTCAGATATTTCTTTATAAAATAAATATTTATCAATATTAATATTTAAATAAAATTTAAAGATTTACAAACTAGACAAGATAAGAAATCAATTCTATTTCGCCATTTATAAAATAAAATGAGTAGTCGAATTTATATCGGAAGAATAAGTTACAAAGCAAGAGAAAAAGATATTGAACGTTTTGTTCGCGGATATGGAAAAATAAGGGATATCACCCTGAAGAATGGATATGGATTTGTGGTGAGTTATTTAATTTATATTATTCCATAATAATAAGCCGGCTGAATGCATTATTGCTTTTCAGTGTGCAATTTATGGATATATTATTTCTGTTGTGTGTATGGTCTTATTTTATGTAGTATGACCAAAGATTTTCAGTAATAATCTTATTTTTTTATAGGAATTTGAAGATGTTCGTGACGCTGATGATGCAGTTTTTGAATTGAATGGAAAAGAACTTTTAAGCGAGAGGTATATATTTTTAATGCATGATGATATCATCTTTCGGGTTTGAAAAATATTGAAATCATTACTAAACCTGATTCTTTTGCAAGCTTACAGTATCTAAATAAATTTTTTTTAGAGTTATAGTTGAATTAGCTCGCGGACCTACTGCCAGAGCTTCATTTAGAACAGAAAGAAGACCGCCACCACCTCAACAACGTCGACCTCGTGTTCATAATGACAAGTATTTGTTATTTTATTAAATGTTATGACCATTTATCATAGATATGGCCCCCCAACTCGTACAGAATTTAGAATCGTCATAGAAAATTTGTCTAGTCGTGTAAGCTGGCAAGTAATAACTCTAAATTTATTATGTTTTTTAGGTTTTATATTTATAATTCTAAAGTTATTTTACAAACAAAACAAGTGATATTTATTATTTATATAAACAAATTAGAATCACTTATCTCTTTCTTTCTGATCTGTATGAACTTAATTGGTTAGATGATAAGGAAGTTTAGCATGCGAGTTGATTATCGAGGTGATAAACATAAAAATGGTTAAACCACATCTCAGCTGTTTAGTATTCAAGCTGTTTATCGCTAAAAGATTAGTCCCTCTCTGTGACAGCTTAAATTAAAGGGTTAACAAACGTCTCATGGCTAAACACTCTTCTCGTGGCTAACTTAAATAAAAGGGTTAACAAACGTCTCATGGCTAAACACTGTTCTCATGGCTAAACTCTGTTCAACTTGCTAATGCTAGGGTTTTTAATTAAAGGTAACATTAAGTTATAATTAATACATTACATAAAGTTTGTAATGATTTCATCAGTTATCTTATAGTCAAGTAATGATCATCTAATGGTAAATATGGTGGTAAAAATCTTTCTTTACTGTTAAAGCTGGGGGAAATGAAGGGTGCCAAAATTATAGCCTGCAGTGGGCTTAATTTTGAATTAATTCTGGCTATTAGACTTGAATTCATATCTAATTAATTACAGGATTTGAAAGATTACATGCGGCAAGCTGGAGAAGTTACCTATGCAGATGCTCATAAATTGAGGAAAAATGAAGGGTAAACTTACCATATTATACATTATATAAAATTAATTTAGTGTTGTTGAATTTGCTAGCTATGATGATATGAAAAATGCTATGGATAAACTTGATGATTCAGATCTATCAGGTAGAAGAATAAAACTTGTTGAACAATATTCAAGATTAAAGAAAAGGTATCTTTTTTATGGATTTTTATAAAATAAAGTTAATTAGGCATATTTCAAGAAGTAGGTCAAGAAGTAGATCCAGAAGTAGAAGAAGATCTCGTAGTTATTCCAAATCAAGATCTGCATCTAAAAGAAGTCGTACAAGATCTAGAAGCAAATCATCTAGATCAAAAAGTCCAAAATCAGATATTTCAAAGAAATCAAAATCAGTGTCAAGGTCTCCTTCTCATCACAATGATACAGATATGCATGATGGGCAAAGATCAAGATCTAAATCCTATAATGCAAACAATGATAAATATGAAAACAACCATGATAATTAAATATTTAGATATCAAATATGTTTTACCTTAAATTTTTAATATATTTTATTACAAGAAATTATTTATGTATTTGTACAGTAAAAATTGTTTAATTTTTTTCATTTAATAAATAATTATATATTAAGTTTATTTCCTATATAAATTAATAAGGTGTAAATAATTTTTCTATGATAGTTTTAGAACTGAATGCAAATTAGAGTTGCACTGATCCAAAAAATTTTCATATTTGAATTGATTTTTATATAATTAAATCAATTTTTTCAAAAATTTTTTTTCACAAAAGTTAATCATTGCATTTAAAATTAATAAAGGTTAAATAACTGGAGCAAAATAAAGAGACTAGTTAAAATAGTTGATATCAAATGGTTATCAATCCTTTTAAAGTCTTTTAAAAATAAGAAACTTGAATATTTTATCTTGATTTTTAATTTTGTATCTTACTAACATTTTTTTCCTTTTAATATTGATTTGATTTTCTTATTTTTAGTTTTACTTTTTGATTCTTTTTTAATGATATACTTTTACATTTTTTTGTATTTTTACCTGTGCCATCATTAGGTGGTCTCATTATTGAGCTTAATATTTTAATTAAATTACATTTGTGCTTAAATTTTCCAATATTTTATTTGTGTTGAAATCATAATTTATAATGTTTGGTTATAATAAATTTTATATTGATTAGTTCCAACGCGATGTTTCGCTAAAATGTATTCGTTTTAAAGTATTCGCGGATTTATGGTTACGAGCCTGTCTTATCTGATTAACAATTAAGAGACAAGGTTAGTAGGAGATCGTTAGTTAAATGAGAGATGCACCATATTAGATACAAAAAATTGATGTAGCTGTAAATTATAAAATTATCATAAATTGATATAAAAATAACACATTAAAATAAACATAAAATACGTTTTTTATAAGAGAATTATTTAAATTATATAATTTATTGGGTTCTTTAGGCTAGCTTTTTATAAGGCCATCGCTTAGATTTCATTTTTTAAAAAAAATAATTTTGTTACATATCTCCGTGAAGTTGGCCGAACATTTGGAAGCACTAACGATGAATCATATGTCATTTTTTAGTGCTTCGTTAGTGCTTATTAGTGCTTCAATCCGTATAGTAGCCGAATTTAAGGAAAAAAGTTATAGGCAAAAATAAAAATTTGTGCCAACTTCACGCTTAAAAGTTGATTGAAAGCACTAACGATGAAACTTATATCATTCTTTAGTGCTTCGTTAGTAGAGGTTAGTGCTTCAATCAGTTTTGTTGCCGAATTTAAGAATAAAAAGTTATTGGCGAAAAAATAAAATATTAACGACCTGCCAAAACAAAAACTAGAGTTGTACTAAACATCCGGTTTTCGCCTTTATTTAGTGCTTAATTAATGTATTTAAATTCCGTTATTAATTTAGTTAACCGCATATGGAAAAAAAGTTATAAGCTATAAAAATTATGACGTCACGATTTAAGCGTGAAGTTGGCCGAACTTTTGGAAGCACTAACGATGAAACTTTTATCATTCTTTAGTGCTTCGTTAGTAGAGGTTAGTGCTTCAATCACATTTGTTGCCGAATTTAAGAATAAAAAATTATTGACGAAAAAAACAAATATTGGCGACGTGCCAAAACAAAAACTAGAGTAGTACTAAACATCCAGTTTTCGCCATTATTTAGTGCTCTCAATTAGTAAATTTGAATTCCGTAATTAATTTGGTTAACCGTCTTTATAAAAAATTGTAATACACTAAGTATTATGAAAATATATAAAATTATAAAATATGTATAATAAAACCTAATTAAAAAATTATAATTTATAAATTTATAATTATATAATTAAAAATAAAATTCTATAATTGAGTCCCCAAAAAGGAATCATAAGTGTCTAAAAATTTCTATTTGAATTTTTTGTCGAATAAAAAGAAATTCTCTGGGTTCATTTGTGAAAAGTCGTATTTTATTACGCAGATTTTTTAAAAACATAAATGTTGAAGGCGAAAAATGCCCGTTAGTAGAAGTCACTACTGGAGTGAATATGAAGTTTTTAAAATTTTTGTATTTGTTTGTCTTTTTAATTTCTGCCTGTGTTATTAAATTGAAATTTATGTTTGAAGGGAATGATGAGACACACGTGTAGTCCCAATGAGTGATCTGCTGAGGGCCCAAGGTATGTTTGTCATACCATCAGGTCTTAAACCATCTACTTGAGATAAATTTGATGGTTCAAGATTGTTTGTAATGTGTGCAGCTGTTAGGCTTTTATTTATTATATGGTTTACAGCTGAGTGTTGATTTATTAATCACATGTGGGAAATTCTGTGGTTAATTTTTTTTATATTACTCAAAAATTTTTTGATTACTTGTAAATTTTTATAGTATGTAACACATTTCCATAATGTGAAACATTCTTATATAGTTAAATAACTTTCCATAATTATTGTAAAAAACATTTTGATTTTGATATAATTTTTTAAAAAAATTTTTTAATAAAACTTTAATAAAGACGAACGTCAAATTTATGAATCGAATATAATTTTTTAATGTTTTGGTCTAAAATTTTCTTAGGAGTCGAGAAAGGTGTCAGAAAATTTGAAAGATTAATATGGCAATAATTTATCGAATCAGGAACTCTCAGAATTCCTGCATAAGTATTAGTGATCTGCATCGGGCCTAATTTTTCAAGCCCCGCCCGGTCCGAAATTTTTTTAAAAAAGTTTTGCCGGCCCGGCCCGAACCATAAATTTTTTTAAAAAAAATTTACTGACCCGGCCCGGTCATGCCCGAATTTATTTAAATATAGAAAATAATTTTTAAAATTACTCAAAATAAAAGACATATGTTATATGTTGTCTAGTTTCTATAAATAAAATCAAATATTTTTATTTTACATTAGATATATTTAAAAAAATTTATAGGCCCAACCCTACCCGGCCCTTTTTTTAAAAATATTAGGCCCGAACCCGATTTATTTTAAATAAATTAGGTCTGAGCACGGTTCGACGGGTACTTTATAATATTGTGATCTTAATATAACTAAAATTTATGATAGAAATAAATATATGCGTAAATTTTTCGAATAAAATAAAACTATGTAAAAAGAACAATTGGAATTAAGAATAAAAAATTTCTGAGAATGTTTTTAACCATATCATTCAATGACACCTTAGAATAATAGATGCTGGAAAAAAAATGTAGTTGTTATTGTTACAATAAAATAATAAAAATTATATAATTATTACACAAGAATGGGGTTCAATGGACCCATTTAGGCAGTAGTGGAAATAATATTTTGTGACCTGGTTATAGCTATTCATGTATTTTGAGAACCTTAATATATATAAGCTTCTGAAACATTATATTACTCAAATATGGCAGATGATCTACGGAAAAAATTGATAGGTTAAGTGCACAAAGACAATATGCATTTTTTAATTACTTGGGGTTTTTAATCAAACTAATTAGGGTTTAAATTTTACAAAATAAGTACTAAATAATGGTGAAAATAAAATGTTTGTCACTGATAGATTTTTTGTTTATTTTGTTAATAACTTTTTTATTTTAAATTAAGCTATTAAACTGATTGAAGCACTAACCCCTACTAATGAAGCTCTAAAGAATTATATAAATTTCATTGTTAGTGCTTTCATAATTTTCTGGCTAAATTTGACCTCCTAAACATTTCTTTAACGTATTACAATTTTTTATAAAGACGGTTAACCAAATTAATTATGGAATTCAAATTTACTAATTGAGCACTAAATAATGGCAAAACCGGATGTTTAGTACTACTATAGTTTTTGTTTTGGCACGTCACCATTATTTGTTTATTTTTGTTTTTTTCGCAAATAACTTTTTATTCTTAAATTCGGCTACAAAAATGATCGAAGCACTAACCTCTAGAAGGATATAAATTTCATCGTTAGTGCTTTCATACTATTCTGGCTAAAATTGGACCTCTAAAAATTTCTTTAACGTATTACAATTTTTTTATAAAGACGGTTAACCAAATTAATTATGGAATTCAGATTTACTAATTGAGCACTAAATAATGGCAAAACCGGATGTTTATTACTACTATAGTTTTTGTTTTGGCACGTCGCCATTATTTGTTTATTTTTGTTTCTTTCGCCAATAACTTTTTATTCTTAAATTCGGCAAAGTGATTGAAACACTAACCTCTACTAACGAAGCACTAAAGAATGATATAAGTTTCATCGTTAGTGCTTCCAAAAGTTCAGCCAACTTCACGCTTAAATCGTGACGTCATAATTTTTATTTAGGTAATAACTTTTTTTCCATATGGCGGTTAACTAAATTAATAAAGGAATTTAAATACATTAATTAAGCACTAAATAATGGCAAAACCGGATGTTTAGTACTACTCTAGTTTTTGTTTTGGCACGTCGCCAATATTTTTTTTTATTTGGTTCTTTCGCCAATAACTTTTTATTCTTAAATTCGGCAACAAAACTGATTGAAGCACTAACCTCTACTAACGAAGCACTAAAGAATGATATAAGTTTCATCGTTAGTGCTTTCAATCAACTTTTAAGCGTGAAGTTGGCACAAATTTTTATTTTTGCCTATAACATTTTTTCCTTAAATTCGGCTACTATACGGATTGAAGGACTAATAAACACTAACGAAGCACTAAAAAATGACATATATGATTCATCGTTAGTGCTTCCAAATGTTAGGCCAACTTCACGGAGCTTTGTTACACACTTTATAAAATTTCAATATATAGTCATTATGAAATTATGAAATTTATCTTAATTTTTTTGAAAAAAAAAAATAACATTTGTGCTCTTTTTTCGGCGAGAGTGGAGTAGTGTAGAAGAATAATTTTTATTAGATTGAAGTAATATTTACGAAAAATAATGAATTTGCTAAAGAAGGAATTTCTCGTTTCGCCCTCCAAGATGACTCCAATGCTAGAGAGATTTAAAATATATATATATATATTGTTATATAATTGTAATTTATCGCTGTCTCATTCTGTGCAAAATCTCTAAAGTTAATGTTATAATGCTACTAATGCACGAATTTTGTTTAAAAAATAAGTTGTCCTTAATAGTGTTTTAAAAAGTCTGATTTTATAATATATAAGCCTTGAGATTTTGCTCATAGATTGTAAAAAATTTTATCCTTAAAATGTTTAAAAAATGGATAATAGAAAGATAATTGGATTTCCTAACCGTAAAATAGATTAGGACTGAGGTGACACTAATAAGTCGTCATAAAATTTGCCATGTGAGCAAAGTTACTTATAGTAATAATCGATTTGCGATCTGAAAAACGTAAAAATTGCATTATTATTATAATGACTAAGGCCCTGCGAGGGAGACATTTTCGTAGACTTGGTCAGTTTTACCTCTGACAAACTAAGACCATCTCAACAAAATTGTAAACGTTAATATTTCCCTAATTTTTATAGATATACTTTTTAAGTAAAACACCAAATTCCATGATATTTCATCGCTTTCACGTTATAATTACCTTTTCTCAATCCAATATAATTTTTATAATTTATTATGGGACCTATTTCTATAAATGCTTGGATCTTGATATAGCTTTTAAAAATATTTATTTTATGTTAAAATTAAAATCATATGCCAATGCTAAATCGGTTTTAAATATTTATTTTAAAATGAACTAAATAAATTTATATAAAGTTGTTGATTTTTTTGTTCCATTTGTAAATTTGAATCCATTTTATAATTAACTAGTAGATAGCCCGTCAAAAATGACGGGGAATGAGAATTTTCTTCTTACTTTTATGCTAGATGTTACCTGTTATTTGAAAATAATATCCAATTTTTATTCATTTTACCTCCTGCCCCCTTAAGGCCGGGTTCAATCCATTAAAACTAAGTGTAAATACTATTGTAGTAAGAATAAATTTAAAGCTTTTACTTGATAATACCAATATTATTTATTAAATATTACTGATCACTTATACCTAATATTTAACATTGAAAAAAATTCCCAGGCAAAGTATAAAGCCATAATAATTTTGAAAAATTCTTCCAAGCCCAATGAAAGATCATAATAATTTTGGTAGTTGAGAACTGAAATAAAATTCATAATGAATTTAAAAATACAATCAAAATCAGATTTTCATGGGCCTTGGTGTTTTAGGCCAATGTCTGACCCATACTTAATAATAAAAAAATTATCAAGCGTCCAAGCTCATAATAATTTTGAAAAATATTCCCCAAGCCCAGCCCAATATAAAAATATTTTTCAAGCCCAGCCCAACCCATAATAATTTTATAAAAAAACTATTCTAAAACCTGGCTAACCCATAGTAATTTTAAAAATTTATTCCCAAACCTGAAGATAGGTAAATCTCTAAAAACTATATCTATTTTTTATTCTATTTTAACCCAGCGCACCCCGACCAAGGCCAACCCATTAAGACTAATACTATTTTTTTGAATAAAAATATATTTAAATTAGCTTTTATCTGAGGGCCATATATATACTGTGTTAAATATTACACCTATGCCTAATCTATATTATAATTTTCCGATGTCCTCACTACGTCATCGTGACGTCATGTCATCGCTACGTCATGTCATCGGTACTTACTTATTTTTATTTTTTTATTGATGTTATTTTATTTTTTTTATAGAAAATATTTTTAGACATAATGCAAAATAAAGTTATTCATCTATATATACTAAAAAGGTTTATACTTTTCATTTTAGAATACTTAGCTTATGATGGATGATATTCCCACTATTTCTAGAGAGGTTAACCTAATATTGACTCCTCTTCAGGTTTAATACATTAATATATTTTTTATTTATTCTTTTGTATTTATTTTAGATAACAAGCCATGTCCCAACCTCACTTAATGATTGTACAGGGGGTATATTGACTCCTCATCAGGTTCAATGCATTTATTTTTTTTATTTATTTTGTTTTTATTTTAGGTAACAAGCCATGTCCTAACCTCAGTTAATGATTGTACAGGTGGTGATTTATCCATCATTAATAAAAGAAAAAGATGGCAGATCAATCAAAAAAAGAAACGCACTAGGGATAGCGAGGACCTACAAAATAGAACATTCTCTTATTTATCAAGTATAATTTTTCTCAAAATTATATTGGGATTTTTTAATGTTAAATGTTAGTCTTATGTTATTATTTTTATAAAGTAATATATTTTACCTGTAGAATAATTGGTAAATTAGAGATTTCCTCTTCATTAATTATAAATTTTGGGCTTGGTTACAAAATTAGGGAAGGTGGGTTAGAGTAATTCTTTTTAAATATTAAGATCTTGGATGCTTTTTTCTTGAACCTATATTGGGAATTTCAAAATTATTAGGGAAGGTGGGCTTGAGAAAATCTTTTTAAATATTAATATCTTGGATGCTTGGATATTTTATCCAGATATTGTAGGCTTGAACCTATATTGGGTTTTTTAATGTTAAAGGTTAGTTTGGATGCTTGGATATTTTTTCCAGATATTGTGGGCTTGAACCTATATTGGGATTTTTTAATGTTAAATGTTAGTCTTATTTAATATATCTGGGCTTGGTTTCAAAATTATTAGGGAAGGTGGGTTAGAGAAATTCTTTTTAAATATTAAGATCTTGGATGCTTTTTTCTTGAACCTTTATTGGGATTTTTTAATGTTAAATGTTAGTCTTGGATGCTTGGATATTTTTTCCATGTTAAATGTTAGTCTTATGTTATTCTTTTTATAAAGTAATATATTTTACTTGTTTACTAATTGGTAAATCAGATATTTTCTCTTCATTATTTATAAAATTAATATCTCTGGGCTTGATTTCAAAATTATTAGGGAAGGTGGGCTTGAGAAAATCTTTTTAAATATTAAGATCTTGGATGCTTGGATATTTTATCCAGTTTAACCTATATTGGGATTTTTATTATTAAATGTTCGTCTTGGATGCTTGGATATTTTTTCCAGATATTGTAGGGTAGAACCTATATTAGGATTTTTTAATGTTAAATGTTAGTCTTATGTTATAAATTTAATATCTCTGGGCTTGATTTTAAAATTATTAGGGAAGGTAAGCTTGAGATATTCTTTTTAAATATTAATATCTTGGATGCTTGGATATTTTATCCAGATATTGTAGGCTTGAACCTATATTGGGAATTTTTAATGTTAAAGGTTAGTCTTGGATGCTTGGATATTTTTTCCAGATATTGTAGGCTTGAACCTATATTGGGATTTTTTAATGTTAATAGTCTTATTTAATATCTCTGGGCTTGGTTTCAAAATTATTAGGGAAGGTGGGTTAGAGAAATTCTTTTTAAATATTAAGATCTTGGATGCTTTTTTCTTGAACCTATATTGGGATTTTTTAATGTTAAATGTTAGTCTTGGATGCTTGGATATTTTTTCCATGTTAAATGTTAGTCATGTTATTCTTTTTATAAAGTAATATATTTTACCTATTTACTAATTGGTAAATCAGATATTTCCTCTTCATTAATTATAAATTTAATATCTCTGGGCTTGATTTCAAAATTATTAGGGAAGGTGGGCTGAGAAAATCTTTTTAAATATTAAGATCTTGGATGCTTGGATATTTTATCCAGTTTAACCTATATTGGGATTTTTATTATTAAATGTTCGTCTTGGATGCTTGGATATTTTTTCCAGATATTGTAGGGTAGAACCTATATTATGATTTTTTAATGTTAAATGTTAGTCTTATGTTAAAAATTTAATATCTCTGGGCTTGATTTCAAAATTATTAGGGAAGGTGGGCTGAGAAAATCTTTTATAAATATTAAGATCTTGGATGCTTGGATCATTACATTTATCATGTTTTTTTTTAACTTTTAGAATATCATAATAGACTTGATTAGTCCCCCAAAAATTTTATTTGATGATAGCCCTCCAACTTATTAGAAATATGCATCTAATATTGACCCTTCTACCGGTTTTACATTATTTTAATGTTTGTTTAATTTCAACAATAGTATATTTATATTTTTGCCTGATTTCTTTATTTGTCTAGGCTAACCCTAATCCCTCACATTGCTACCAAACATGATGAATCTTTTATTAATGATAAGCAAAGAAAAAAATGGCGATTCAACAACCGCCTTACCCGTTCTAGAGTTACTGGTGGCCAAGATAATAAGGCACTGTGAACTCCTCTGGAGGTTTATTTTGTTTTTTATCTAATGTTTTATATCTTTATGTTTATTTTATACACCCAGTTGCCTCCAAATGATATTTCTATCACCACTACCACAATCCCTATGCCACCTCTGCCTAATTTTTAACAAATAAAAGCATTTAATTCCACTATCATTTACCTCATTAGGAGTTATTATAAATAACACTTTATCCGATTCCCTGAGGAACTTTCATGAATATTTAGAGAGATGTTCAAACGTGAATGTGTAGTGCGGCCAATTTCATTAACATTATTAATGGGAAAATATGCGGTAGTTTTGTCATGGCCTTTATAACAATACTTACGACCGTTTTATGGTTGAGTTGACAATGTCGTTCATGATTTTATTTTAGAGGGGGATACCAAAACTGACACTTTGGCAGAAATATCATTTTGCGTTCTTCTTTTACCAGTAGCCCAGGGCCTCAGCTTTATCAGGACGCAATGGGTGTTGTACACTGCTTTGGTAATCCGTCATTATTCATTACTTTCACCTACAACCCTAAATGGGATGATATTATACATTAATTTTTTCTTCTGCAGACGACTGAAAGAATTTGCTCTTAATTTTACCAGACACACAGAGTAATAATTATTCCTCATCATTTTTTAAAAAAATTACCTAAATTTATATGGCAAGAAAAACAAATTTCTTAAAAAATATATAAATAAATTGCATATAAGTTTCATTAGTATTGAATGGCATTTTTGTAATTTAAATAAATAGCATTTTTTTGTACAACAAAAGATATAGATAGCCCTTATCAAATTTTTTGATAAAAGGAGTTAACCCACTAATTGGTAAATCCGAGATTTCCTCTTCATGTGTTGATATATTATTTAGAAATTTAACTATCTCCGGGTTTGGGAAATAGTTTTGAAACTTAATATGGGATGGACTGGGCTTGAAAAATATTCCTCAAGATTAATATTTGCTTGCACCTGACTCAGGAATATCTTATACAAATTATTATGGGCCGGGCTAGGAAAAAATTTTCAAAATTATTATGGGTTGAGCTAGGCTTGAGAAATTTTTTCATAAATTATAAGGTCTTGAACGCGTGGAAATTTTTTCCAAATATTATGAGCTTGGACCTGGCTTGAAATTTTTAAATGTTAAATGTTAGTCTTATGTAACCAGTAATATATTTACAAAGAATTTTGGTATTGGGTACAAGCTCATTTAAATAGATTTTGACTCAAATAATAGTTTCCACTCTTATTCCTAAAATGAGTTGGATTCAATGACATTGCTTGGACTTGACCTAAATGGGGAGGGGGGTTTAAAAATAATATAAATTGGATATGATTTTTAAATAAAAGGTAACATCTTTCTTAAAAAAACGAATAAAATTCTCATTCTCCGTCATTTTTGACGGGCTATCTACTAGTATTAAAAAAATTCCCAAGCCAGGTCCTCGCACTTGAGAAAATTTCCTCAAACTCGCCAATGACCATAATAATTATGATAGTTGAGAACTGAAATAAAATATATATAAAAAGTCATAATGCATTTAAAAATACAATCAGAATATGAAAGTTGCATGAGCCTTGGTTTTTGATCAGGCCTTACCATGTCCTCAAAAGATATTTTCAGGCTAATTTCTAGCCTATATTTAAAATTAAAAAATTTACAGGAATCTAAGACTATAATAATTATGAAAAATGTTTCTCAAACTATGTCCAATTCCATAATAATGGTGAAAAATATTTCCCAAGTCCAGGAAAACCCAAAATAATTTATTTTTTCTTTGGATACAGAAAAATAAGTCTGATGTAAGGGGTTTATAAGAATTAAATCTGTCTAATATGTTCATATTTTTTTGCCATTTTATATGGAAAATTTTTCCAAATCATCAAATGAAGGGTAAATATCTGATTTACCTATCATTCTACTGGTTAGCTCCTGGTATTTAAATGAAATTCATTATAATTAAGACTAAATACTATGGTTTGAGTAAGATAAATTTAAAGCTTTTACTTGATAATACCAATATGTTAAATTTACTGATCATTTATATCTAATATTTAATATTTAAAAAAATTCCCAGGTAAAGTACAAAGCTATAATAATTTTGAAAAATTCATCCAAGCCCAATGAAAGATCATAATAATTTTGGTAGTTGAGAACTGAAATAAAACATTTAAATAATCATAATGAATTTAAAAATACAATAAAAATCAGATTTTCATGGGCCCTGGTTTTTTGATCAGGCCGAACCCAAACCTGTAAAATAACTTGTTTTAGGCCAATGTCTGACCCATAGTTAATAATAAAAAAATTATCAAACGTCCAAGCTCATAATAATTTTCCCCAAGCCCAGAAAATATTTTCTAGCCCAGTCCAACTTATAATAATTTTATAAAAAATTTTCTCAAGCGTGGCCAATCCATAGTAATTTTTAAATTTTTTTCCCAAACCTGGAGATTGGTAAATCTCTAAAAACCATATCTATTTTTTATTTTAACTTAACATAAGTTTCATTAGTGTTTAATGGCATTTTTGTAATTTAATTAGACAGCATTTTTTTTTTACTTAACATAAAAAATATATATCCCTTATCAAATTCTTTGACAAATAATTTCAGAAATGTAAGACATACATTAAATTTATCTGAAAAACAACAATAACCCTATATAATAAACAACATATTTTTTAGATGTAATTTTAATTGATCATATTACAAAAAAGTATAAGGGTCGGTTATTTTTATTTTATTTGTCATGATTCTCTAATAAGTGGCGGAATTATGTTTTTTTCTATATTAGACTAGTTGGTTAATCAGATATTTCCCGTTCATGTGATGATATTAAAAATTTAATTATCTCCGAGGCGGGAAAAAATTTCCAAAATTATAATGGGTAGGACTGGGCTTGGAACCTCA